ACATAAATATTAATAACAAATATACCTCAAATTTTAAAATAAATGTTTTAAAAAACCTATTATCTAAAATTAAAATACATACACATAACATGTAAAGCATATTCAAATGTGAATTTAAAAATAAAATCAAACATATAAAACATTTTCAAACGTGTAAAACCCACAATCCCTTATTTTCCTCAATTGCATTACATAAAGTAGCTAATGTGATGTAAAACATATTACATTCCTGATTCTACGAGTTGCCTTTGTGCCACGCCCCTTGAGGCAAACCCAAACAAGTCCATGTTAGGGTCTTAAATTCTTAGTTTTCACACAAAAAATAATGATTTTATAATTTTAATTGCTTTTTAAGAAGATATTTTAGTAGGTTGAATGAATGAACAACATTACTAAATAGGGTGTTCTTGGAGCAAAAAAAGGCGGTGCAAGGCACACACCTGGGCTGAGGCGCAAGGTGCATCAGGCGCACGCCTAGGTGCACCAGGCATGCGCCATTTGAAAGGGCTACACCTAGGACCTAGGCGAGGCACCTACCCTAAAATGCCCCTCGCTTGTGCGCCTAGGTGTGCCTTTTAAGTCACTGATATTTACATAAATTGTTTACTTTGTTTTAAAGTTTTACTATTGAAATGTAAAAGATGAAAGGGTTTTGAGAAAGATAAAATAGAAAAAAGAAATAATAGAAGTACAGAGAAGTTTCTCTTTTTTTTTGTTTTTTCTACTCTCTTTCTTTCATTAAATAAACCAGTAGCTCCACCCTTGTTTTTTTTCTCTTTTACTTTCTATCTTAAATTTCTATTATATAAAATTATAGCCTTCTTTTGTTGCTAATTGACATGAATTTGCTTTATAAGATACTTATTATTATATTAGTATTATTTTTGAAAATATTGATGTTAAATTATTTAAACACTCTTTTCTTTTAGATATGATGAGTTTCCATGTTATGAGAGGACATTTTATGTTCATAATAAAGAGAATTGCTATTTTTCAATTAATATGCAGACTGAGTTGTATATAAAACTAGAAAGTTGGACAAAATTTCATTAGTTGTTTTGTAAATTTATAAAATTCCTATTGCCTGAACAGTTGGGAATCTTTGGCATGTAATGGAGTTTCAGATATGTATCAGTCTATAGTGGTCTTTTTTTTGGTTGTAGTTGTTGGTTTGTTGAGGTGTCACCTTGCCACCTTCTGTTCTAATCCTTTTTTTTATGTTAATAAATCTTTTTTATTATTACTCTTCAAAAAAAAATTCCTATTGCCTGGACAACTAGGCACCCCACTGTCAGCCAGAATTACCAGATGCCTTGACAACTATGGCTGGTCGTTTTACCTGCACAATATAACTTCCAATTCCCTTGCTAGGTGCCTAATTTCTTTTAAGGATTGCCTATGTTGCCATTATTGCTTTGTTGTTATTAGTCATCCAACTCACCACCACCTTTGAATCTCCCTCTTTCATAACTTTTTTTTTTGATCAGTAAAAATCTTTCATTGACTCCCTCTTTCATAACTTGTCACTGCAGGAGAACTAATAACAAAAACAACTGCTACATCATCAAAATCAATATATGCTTGCTGATTTGGTGGTTGTTTTTGTTTTGAAAAACAAACTCATACATATATAATTTTGCTGTTGCTGATTTGAAAAGCATAAAAAGATAAGAGGGAAAATGCAAAATCAATATATGTGCATAATGGGTATAATAAAATCCTAATTTGCTGCTCATGCTGACATGAAAAGCAGGGAAAATTCCTCGTGAAAAGACAAAGAAAACCCTGTTTACAATGATAAAGTTCAATGTGCAGAATGTTTTTGTCTTTTAAAACATATACCATTTTACTAATGATTATGGATGTGCCATCCAAAAATTGGCAAACAGCATGGCAGATGCATTGATTTGGCAGGTACCAAGTAGGAATCAGCTGTATTGGGGGGGGGGGGTACTGACCCATAGAGTGCGGTTACATGAGTGTAAAATGGGATTTGTTGGATTGAGCGGCAGTGGTTGACTAAAACATCAAGGGGTGCTAGGCAAACTTTCTTCTTGTATTTAAATTAATTTTTATTTAAATGTTAATAAAATAAAATTGAGCAGTTAACAATAAGGAAGATTTACACATGGCTGTATATATATATATATATATATATATAGGAGGGGGAGTGTAGCTTACTCCTGGTTGATGTTCCCTTTTGTGAAACCATTTTTTGAGCTACCGATAGTACCTTACTCAAATTTGAGATCAGTAACAATCATTTTTTTTTTTTTTGTTTTTTTTATGGGGAAAGAATTTTGACTTATACAAATATGGAGAGCATGCCTAGCACCTCTATCATTGACTCTCAGCTGCTTACAACCACCTTGCCCCTATCATCCTTAATTTACATTCTACTCAGTTTATGGGAGAACACTACCTCAATGCAGGATCTTTTTAATCTTTTTCTAGCCAAAACACCAGATTGACCATTTTCTGAGGTTGGAACCTATACAAACATCATGTATCCTTTGTTCCTTCCTGCCTGCACAGTTCACGCCCACTGTTAATTTGCTATTAGTTTGCTAATGCTACAAAGATCCTAAACTATCATTTGAAACCAATACCCCGCCACCTTAGAATTTACTTCTATCACTATCTTTCCTTAGTTGAGAGAGAGTTCCTCAGTTTCAGTCCTTGAAGCAAACATTTCTGTCCTTCATGGATTTCTTACGCCAATTGGCCCTGAGAATACGATCATGATTTTCTCTAGTCATTCTTGAATGCTCCTCCCATTCCTGACTTGTGTAATACTTTGTTTTTGATAAGAAAATGAATCTCAACATCTATTACATTGTTTAATTAAATTTGGTAAACAGAATGTCATCAGAAAGGGCCTCTGTCAGTGAAGCTGATGTATATCAAATTCAGTTATTTTTTTATAAAACATTTTAATAGATCAGGTATCCTTTTTGGGCAGGAAAATAGGCAAATGACATCAATTATAGATACACTCAGAATATAATTATTGTGCAGGGTACATGGAGCATGGACAGGCAAGGATTTCTGTCTCGAGTTCCCATTTTATATGTAGATGGATTTGGATGTAATGCTCTCATATCCATTAAATTTGTAAATTTAATTGATTGTGCTGATGAATGTAGATCCGTGGATCTTATTTCCTGGATGCTTCTCATTATTCTTCTCTAATGAAGAGTAGTGTTTTTAAATTTAGGAGTGCAACTAAAGCACAAGGCGTTCCTACAGGCTGAGATGCAAGGCACCAGTATTTTAAAAGTGCAAGGTGCAAAAATACAAAAAATGTTAGAAATTTCAAAAACTGCCAAAAAATCCAAAAAAATGCAAAAAAATTCAAAAAAAGTAAACATAATATTAATAAAAATGCAAACGTAAAAAATTTTAAAATAAATGTTTTAAAAACCTATTATCTAAAATTAAAATACATAAACATAAGATGTAAAGCATATTCAAATGAGAATTTATAAATAAAATCAAACATATAAAACATTTTCAAGCATGTACATTCATAAAAAAACATTTTCAAGCATGTAAAACCTCTAATCTCTTTTTTCACTCAATTGCATTACGTCAAGTAGCTAATGTATGAAAACATATTGCATTCCTGATTCTACGAGCTGTCTTTGTGCCATGCCCTTTGAGGCAAGCCCAAACAAGTCCATGTTAGTTGTTAAATTCTTAGTTCTCACACAAAAAATAATGAATTTATAATTTTAATTGCTTTTTAAGAAAATATTTTATTAGGATGAATGAATGAACTACATTAGCAAAGAGGGGGTTCTTGGAACTTTGCTCATGAAAGCTCCTATTTACTAATGACTTAATGTTGTTCATTCATTCATCCTAATAAAATATTTTCTTAAAAAGCAATTAAAACTATAAATTCATTATTTTTTTTTTGTGTGAGAACTAAGAATTTAACACCTAATTGTTTGGGCTTGCCTCGAGGGGCATGGCATGGGGGTTCGGGGGTAGAGCCCTCGACCCAGCCGCTATGTTCAAAAAAAGCAAAAAAACATCAAATTTTCAAAAGGTGCACACCTTGGCTGAGGTGCAAGGTGCATTAGGCGCACACCTAGGCACACCAGGCATGCACCTAGGATCTTGGTGAGGCACATACCCTAAAATGCGCCTTGTCTGTGTTTCTAGGCGTGCTTTTTAAATCACTGCAAGGCACAAGGTGAGGCCTGCACTTGAATGAAGTGGAGCACCACATTTGGGAAAAAACAACAAAAGTAATATAAAAGAATATCAAACCTAAATTCTGAAAGAAATAAAATATTTTGAAAAGTCTATTAGCTAACTGGTTAGTGAATCTGTGTATGGCGTTAATAATATGAAGACTGCAGCCTTGCATCACACGTGCAACCTACAACTTTATTTAATTTCGCATACAATATCAAATTCAAGGTTAGTTCATTGAAACATAACAACAAGTCATGTAAGACACTTGGGTTTGGGAATGGTGCACCCCACAATATAAGCCTGGCCTATGAATCTACATGCTGGAGGAGTGCCTATTAAAACGTTGAATGAGACACAAATTAGTTTTATTTTAATGATTTTTGTTGGTGGCTCACTGTATCATTATTCATTGGGGACAGTGGGAGTAGACAGGATAAGTTTTGCTTGTATTTGATGCTTTTGAGGGGATTTGTTGCTGCATCTTGTGTTAATATATGGTTAGGATATCTTCTTTTGAATTTAATGATGTCAAATGCATTTCATTGGGAAGAAATTGAAGGGTGTGTTTAATGCGTAAATTGCTTCTCAGCTTCTTATAAATTGAGGTTAATGTTGCCCCTATAACTGAACAGTTTTGTTTCTTCTTCCTGTTAATACCTTTTTTACCTTTTATCTTTGATAATTATAGGGAAGTTTTCTGCATGAGGATAAAGAAAATACATATTTTTACCTATTTACCGATAAAAATATTCTTGAATCAGTTAAGGACAATTTTTATAAGTACCTTTGTGCAGGAAGTTCTGCTTGAGTTCCGAGCTGGTAAGATGTTTATGGAGGGAACACGGGTGATCCCAGATACACGTAAAGGTCTTGTTCGCATAGCAAGGGTAAGGCCGTCCTGAGGACAAGGATCTATCTCTGGGTGAAGTGTTCCATGGAAAAATACAGTGATTTTCTTAATAATAGAAAAAAAGCTATTTCTGTCTTAGATTTTATTTATTTTCAGATGTAGATTATGCATCTTTGTCATTCAAATAAGACTAACTTCTGGATTCCTCCATTAGGGTGAGGAGGGTTTGATTCATTTTCAGTGGCTTGATCGGGCACAAAATGTGGTTGAAGATGTATCCCTCTTTGGTTGTTGCCTGGTGGAAATTGTGTGTATTAGGTTCTTTTGTTTGTAATGAAATAGTTTAGTTTCCACATATTATCACTCAAATCAGTTTATATCTGTATGAACACAGGCAAATACATATATTAAGCATAACACAGTCTGATATGTTTATTTTCTGAACATTTGGTCAAGTAATATTCAGTTTTTTCTTCAATTAGGGCCACTTAATTGCAGCTCACCATGTTCTCATTGAATGGCTGAAGGTACTTTATACTGTTTGTGGTTACATTTATCTATCCGTAATTCTGCATACATGTCCATAATTTTTGAAGTATTTTTCTTATCTAAAAATTTTGAATGACAACTTGCAGAAAACTGTAACACTGCACATGAAAAGTTGGTTATGTTTTGAAGGCAGTGCTTATGACTTTTTGGGTTGTAAGTATTCAGTTGTTTGGTTGGGGGTGTGGGGGCTGGGTGCTTGTTTTGCCTGTTTAGTCTTGGTGTGTAGCTCTATGCTAATTGCATACTTTGTTTCTTGGGATATTCTATTGGAGGCTATGCATAATTACATGCTAAGGGAGTTAAAAAACTTGGGCTTGATGCCACTGGACCCAGGCTATTGCTCTATGGCTTTCCAAGTATCCTTATTAGTGGATCAAAACCCTCTAATGATTAGGTTCTGTGCTGATAATTAAGTTCCAAATTGCAGCTACTTGTGTTTATATATTTATTTAGAGATTTTTGCGAGCTTAATTACATCTCACTCCCCACCAAAAATAGCAAGGAAAGTGCTCCTAAAAGCATAAACCAGATGGTGAAAACTTGCATTATTATTTGTAATGATGGGTTCTAATCCTCTGATATCTGCAATAAATGGCAAATTATAGGGCCTTGTCTTGCAGTTATGTTCCTCTGGTCTATGGCAGTGCCTTAAATTGTAATGAATTCAGTCTTTGATATAGATTATAGAGCCACTTGGTTGATGAATTTTGATTTTTCATTTTTCTAAATCCCCAAACACTCAGGGTTTTGCTGTTGAGTGGAGTTTGGACTATGCTGTCTTGTGAAAAAGTTTTAGTAGAGTGTTTTGAAGTGAGTTTCCTGACCGTTGTGTGGGTGCTGCTCTATGATTCAAAATAGCATCTTTCATGTGAACATTTTGTAATTAGCCTATTCCCAACATTAATTTGTGTATTTTGTACAGAGCAGAATGGTGAAACAAGATTCATGTAGCTGACCCCATATAGATGAGCAAGGCTTTGATGATGATGATGATTTAGACAGAAATTTGATCTTTTCTTTCTTTCTTTTTTTTTCTTTTTTTTTTTTTTCTGAAATGGTCCATTATTGGAGTTTGGATTGCATTTAATTAAGGGTGTGCATGTTGCATTGACTTGCATGTCCTCTTTCATCTTGTTCTTATCTATGATCCATATACAGTTAGTAGATGTGGATGCATCTATATAGCTACATGTATATGTTCTCAGGCCCAATTGGAGTGAGTGGCTCTCTCAGAGCTAAGATCCATGCAGTTAAGGAAGGAGTCCAGAAAGGTAGGGAGTTGAATATCAGAAAACTCATAATTGAAGGGGACTCAGTTGTGGTGGTAGGGTGGCTGAATAAAGACGATAGTGGTTTATGGAATTACAGCAATGCAAGGAGGAAATTCAGATGGATGGTTCGAGAAATGAAAGTTAAAATCAGTTGGGCAAACAGATCAGCTTATTCTTTTTCTGATGGGTTAGCTAAATAATGGGTTGAGGGGGATTCAATGTTTTGGGCACAGATGTAATTTAAATTTCATTTTTAATTTTTTCTCTTTCTCTCTTGTTTCCTTTCTTGGGGTTCAAACTGAAGTTGGAAGATAAGAAAGTTTGTCTTCCTCTTTGTAATTATTATTGTGATAATTAATGAATTGTGTTATTGATAAAAAAAATCTAGAGTAGACACCTAGGACTGCCAACAGTTTGGCTGATAGGGGGCTTATTCTGGCTCTGGTCCGGTAGGGGGCTTATATTATATTTTTATATGGCTGGTTTAACTAGGTCAAATGATGGGGTGTTTCTGGCACAAAAGACTGTACATGCTATTCTTTTGAATACATTAATAAAGAATTATAATTACTGATGTTAAATTCTATATGGGAATCTTGTTTGGTGGCTTGAACTTCCATGGTTTCCCTTGACCGTATATGTTACAGGATCAGATTGTTTTTCCTGATGAGGCATTTTTTGAGAAGGTATTTATCTTTTGTAAACGAGTGACCTTTCGTTCAGACTTTTGTCAAACTTACTGCTGTGATATCTTTATCTTTACTTTCTATCTCGCTTTTTGGCTAATTCAGGTCACTCAATCAGCTGAAAGGGTATACATTTTGAAGTTTAGCACTGATAATAGGCGGTTCTTTTTTTGGATGCAGGTCAGCAGCATTTGTTGTTATTTCTTTTCTTAAAGATAATAAAATTATTACAGTGTTGTTTTGCTTTGAGATTGACATTCTCTCTCTAAACTGGGTCCAGGAACCAAAATCTGATAATGATTCCCAGATATGCAGTTCGGTCAATTATCACATAAATCGGCCATTGGGTATGAGAAATATTTCTGGCGTTCCTTTTTGGGTAAAGCATTTCTGTTTTGTAACCACTGTTTATCACTTTTGCTTGACAGAATTAGCTGGTGAAGAAGAACCCGATGCTTCAGTTCCTCATCAAATGTCTGAGATGTCTGAAGGCATGGTTGAAGATGAGATTTCGTCTAGGTATGCATATACCAAGGAATTTATTGTATTTTAATTCTATTTTCAGTTATTTAAAAGGTAAATAATATTCTTGTCAATATATCATGAGCAAGGGCTGTTGATTTTTATTATAGATTCATAATGACGAACCTCTGTGTTAAACACCAAAGCATTTCCCCATTTTTCTTTTTGTGCTCTTCTTATCTTATAAGTCGTTTTTTGGGGGCACAAGTTGCACAGCATAGTGAAGAAGGGACATGTAACAATGTAAAATGTAATAGGGATAGGGGAGGGGCTTAGAGTAGGATAGCCAAATTATGCGTTGGTAGGCACATATCTATGTATAACACTCTCAATTTGTTAGTTTTTCCATAATGAAAATAATCTGAATGACATCTTCACTGTTTATGAGATGACAGAACCAAAAATAAGTTTAGTTGGGTTTGAATCGGTTAGAAGGTTGATAATCTCCATCATGTGCTTGACCTTGAACCTTACAGTCTTCAATGGTATAGAGCAGAATAATACAGCTACGAGTCATCAAGAGTAAGGCTGCACTCTACTTCTAGGCTAAAAAGAATAGAATGCTTCCCCCATGCATGAATGAAAATAGGTGTGATGGTGCACTTACAAGAGGTTGGTTTTGCTTTGACAACAAGATGGAAGCAGAACCTTAAAGCAGAGGCAGAGGCGTTTGTTATGGAGGACCGATGGGTTGGATTGGCCCAAGCTCCCTGATGATTTGATTGAGTGGTTGGAAAGAGAGTTTGATTTGGAAGAAATATAGGAGGTCATTTTCTCTATGGTTAGATCTAAAGTCCCAGGCCTTGATGGTTTTACGATGGCTTTTTACCAAGATTGCTGGGAGATAATTAAGGCTGATATCCAAAGTGTTTTGTCGGAATTCTTTTAAAGAGGGATGATAAATCCAGGCTTGAACTCGACCTTTATTGCCTTAATTCCAAAAAAGGAGGGAGCTTGCCACCCTAAAGAGTTTAGACCCACAAGTTTGGTAAATAGCCTCTATAAGATCATTGCTAAGGTGCTATCCCGAAGAATTAGAGAGGTGCTTCCTACAATCATATCCCCTAATCAAGGTGCTCTTGTGAAGAATAGGCAAATTGTTGACCAAATCTTAATAGCAAATGAGAGTGTAGAGGATTTTAAATGAAGAGGGAAGAAAGGGCTGGAATGCAAATTGGATCTGGAAAAAGGCTTATGATTTGGTTGATTGGTCCTTATTGCAAGAAGTACTTGAGTCTGTTGGTTATGGGCAAAGGTGGTGCAAGTGGATAAATGGGTGTATGAAAATGTGCCACTACTCTATATTGGTGAATGACAGGGTGGTAGATCATTTTCCTGTTACTAGGGGTATTAGGCAAGGGGACCCCCTCTCCCCCTTCCTGTTTACCTTGATTGCAGAAGTGTTAGGGAGGCTTATTGAGAAAGTAGATGCTAGAGGATTGGTAAATGGTTGGAGAGTTGGGAGGGTCAGGGTTCCGGTCACTCATTTACAATTTGCTGATGACACAATTCTGTTTTGTGGAGGGGAGGAGATTAGGTGGTTTAGTAATTTAAAGATGGTGATCAAGGTGTTTGAACGTGTGACTAACTTAAAAGTAAACTTGGATAAGAGTTGTGTGATTGGCATTAATATGAGTGCTAGAGAGATGGAAGAAAGGGCCCAAGTTTTGGGTTGTGAGATTGCTCAATGGCCATTGAAATATTTGGGGCTTCCACTAGGGGATAGCCCTACCAAAAGGAGCTTTTGGAATCCGGTGATTGATAGATTTCACAAAAAGGCTTGCCTCTTGGAAGAAAAACTACCTATCTTTGGGTGGCAGGATAACTCTAATTAAGTCAACCTTGGAAATCTTCTGGTTTACTTTCTGTCTGTGTTTAGAATTCCTAAGGGAGTATGTAGGATTTTGGAGAAATTAATGACAGATTTCTTATGGGAACCAAGGGAGGAGAAAAGGGACCATAGAGTTAGGTGGGACTTGGTTACAAAACTCAAAAGTGAGGGTGGATTGGGTGTGGGCAACTTAAAGAAGAATAATGAATCTCTTTTGGGGAAATGGTTATGGAGATTGAATAAAGAAAAGGAGAATTTGTGTGCTAAAATAATCCTAAGTATTCACGGGCAAGAGGTAGACGGCTGGGACACGAGGATCTCATCTAGGGCTACAAGGGCATCTCCTTGGAAGTCTACTCATGCCATCCTTCTCTTCGTCCTTTTATTAGGTATGATCTTTGGTCTGGCATGTTTTTGAGATTCTGGGAACATATTTGGGTGGGATACACTCCTCTGAAAGGGCACTTCCCCTCTTTGTTTTCCCTCTCAAGGTTTAAAAATGAGCCTGTAGCTTCCTTTCTTATTTTTTTGATGCTACAGTTAATTGGAATCTAGGTTTTAGAAGGGATCTCAGAGGTTTGAATTGGGTTCGATCTCTAATTTGCTTAAGATTTTGGAGGAGGTTGTTATTGACCCTTCTAGAGTGGACAATAGGGTGTGGTCTCTGTCAGGTACTTTCTCTTGCTCTTCTTTTTTCAAAAAATTAACACAGTCCAATCCAATCCCTACCAGAGTAGGTGCCTTTTGTTGGGAAGCAATCCTAGAAAAATGTAACACTTCTGAACTACTTCAAAAGAAAAGGCCTAATTGGTGTTTATCCCCGCACTGGTGCATTTTGTGCAAGAAGAATGGTGAGAATTGTTATCACTTATTAATTTCTTGCCCCTTTGTTTCAGGGATCTGGGTTTGGCTTTTCTCTCTTTTTGATTGCAGATGGACTCCCCCTCCAAGTGTGCAAGGCTTATTTAGTACTACATCAGTGAGGGATTTAAAAAAGAGAGGTAAACTCTTGTGGAGATGTGCTAGAGCAGCTGTTTGCTGGAGTGTGTGGGAGGAAAGAAATCAAAGAACTTTTCATGAGGAAGAGAAAAGCAGGGAAGCCATTATTGAATTAATATATGTTAGGGTGGTTCATTGGGTCAAGTCTATGAAGATATTTGAAGGATGTTCAGCAGGAGACATCATTCGAAAGTGGGAGGAAGTGGCTAGGTCTGCTCCCTTGTCTTCTTCTCCCAATCTATCTTGGATTCCTCCAGCTTCGGGATACATTAAATTAAACTTTGATGTTAGTAGTGAAGGAAATCCAGGTTCTTCAGGTATAGGTGGAGTGTTTCAGGATGAAAAAGGTCGAATAATTGCCATGTTCTCAACACCTATAGGCTGGGGGGATTCATTGAGAGCTGAAATTTTGGCAGCATTGGAAGGGATCAAAGGAGCCAAGCAGTTGAACATAAGAAATTTGTTGGTGGAAGGAGATTCAAGGCTGACAGTTAACTGGTTGCAGGAGAGAGATTCCAGTTTGTGGAAGTTCTCAAATGATAAAAAACCAGATTACTCGAAACATGCAAATTCAGGTTCAGTGGGCCAAGAGGTGTGCCAATTCTTTGGCAGATGTCTTGGCTAAACAAGGGGTGAGAAGAGCAAATCTTTTTTGGGCTGTGTTGTAATATGATTCTTATTGTTGGGGGGGTTAAGTGTTTTTACCTCTCCCTTTATACTGTTTCTCTCTTTTATATATTTTTAATAAAAGTTATTGTTATTGATAAAAAACCGCTGTATTGAACCCTCAAGGACTTGGAAACCTGAACCAATAAGTAAGGAAAAGCTTAAAAGTTTATCTAATCAGCACATTTTCCTCTTCCATATATTCTTCTTCTTCTTCTACTACTACCAATACTTTTTATTTCTTCTTTTCCTATAACAAAAATAAGGGTTCAGCCCCTATATTTTTGAAAATCATGAATAATTATTAAAGAAATATGGTTATGGTACCTAGGGAACTACCCTAGGATCTATGTTTTTAACATAAAAAATCCATCGCCTAGGCTACTAGGCAACAAGGCGCCCCCCAGTCGCCTAGCCTCGCCTTGGCGCCTTGAAAACTAATCGTGCCTGGAAGTGGAATGAGACAACTTTTAAATTGATTGTGGCAAGTTGTGGCGTCTTCTATCTGCTTTTAACACCATAGACCTTAGGGTGGCAACCATAGATTTGTTGGGAGTAAAGACCAATGCAATCCCCTAGATGATTGAAATGTTCATCGATAGTTTGAGTTTCAAAGTGTGACTTCTTTCATCTATGGAGGCAGCACTAAGGAAGGAGGGGCTGAAGGTAGAAGATGAGTTGGCGGGCTTTAGCACACTTGGCACTAGAAGAGAGGAAATGTGTGACCACTGCAAACTTTCACCTTTAGAGGAAGTTGAACTTTCAAGAAATCAAAAGGAGGAGAATCAGATGCCAAGTTCTATAAAGATTCAAGTCTGGGTTGTTTATTTTAGGTGGCTGGGTTTAAAAGTTATGCCCAGGTTTTATCAACAAGCTCATGCCAACTTAAGTTGGGATTTCAGAAGTCCTTTGTTCATGACCTAGGAAGTGAAGTGTTGACGGAAGTAGGGGATCGAAACGTCTCAATCCAATTCATGTGTCAGCTCAAGTGACAACATAGGAGAAAATTAAAAAAAAAAATCCAAAGAGAACTTGCTCACTTCGAGGTGCAAGACAAGCAGGGTGTGATCCAAGGGAAATGGGGGAAGGAAGATTCGTGAAACCAACCAAGTGGAGACAAGTGCTGCAGATTGAGGTGAAAAAATTGGTATTAGAAGAACAAAGATTCAAAGGTCAATGGTCTTTAAAGATAAGGAAGGAGAGAAGAGCTATGATTTTTCCGATTGGAGATGCTTTGCAGTGGTTACAAGGATTCGTGGGTGGGGCTATACGATCGGTGAAGAAGCAGTTATGGAGAAGTTTGATGTAATTTTTGGACCGGAAATATGATGCTTTCCTCAAATGGAACCAGAAGGGGTGGTTTGTTACAATGGTAGAAGAGTTTCACAGAGGGAGGAAACAAATGATATGCCTCCAAAAGGAAAGAAAAACAGGGGATGGAAGTTGTTCACAGAGTCATTGTAGAACTTCTTGTTGTTCATCGAAGAGGGTGTTAAGGTTG